ATATAATACATGAGTACTTGAAAACACAGTTGAACCACTTTCATTATTTTAAAAACAGATCGAATCAAATTAATCGATTAAGAACTGTGAATCTAAATCGAATCGATTAGACTTTGGTGAAAATACTCAGCCCTAGTGAAGAACTTTGCTGATTTCTCTGATTTTCTTTTTTCTATAATCAACTTTTTTACCTTTTTTTCTGATTTTATTTAATTTTTTCTTTTTAAACTTCTCTCTTTCAGATTTTCACAAATTACAGCTTTTTCTTATTGTGTTTTCCATGTCGCATTCTCTTAACTTCAAGCCCATAACGAATGCTCACTCTTGACCAATAAAAATTGTCTTGCTAACATCTCGCAGACCAATAAAAATGGATTTTTGATCCTCACTCCAGAGGAAAGCCCGCCCCCAGATATGAAGGGAATGTAAACTGTTAAATGCTGTTTGCAAAGAATGAAATTCATAAAACTCAACCTAAAAAAAAGAATTAAAAAATAAATAAATCTGTGAAAACAGCAAAGTTAATTTCTAAAGTTTTTATTTATCAATAATTTTTTTTTTTTCCTGCAGGTTGCAGGTATGATCCACTTTGCTCAGGCAGTCAGAGGACAGTCTGATCTGACTCGGCTGATGATCAAACAGATGGGAGAGGCTTTGGACTCGGCTCAGCCTGAGGCCTTCACTGAGGCCATGTTTAAACTGGCTGCTTTGCTCATCAGCAGCAAAGGTTGGACTTCACTGGATTTCTTTATCTTCTGCTTTTTTTACATGACGTGATTTTGCTCCCGTCGTATTTCGTGTACAGAATGCGACCCTCAGCTCCTGCACCACCTCTGCTGGTCGCCCCTTAAGATGTTTACAGAGCACGGCATGGAGACTGCCATTGCATGCTGGGAGTGGCTGCTGGCGGCGCGTACGGGAGTGGAAGTGCCGGTACGTTGTGGGAAGTGTTTGACCTGTTCTTGTGTCCCTTGTGTTTTGGACATTAATGTTTTTTTCTTTTCTCTAGTTCATGCGGGAGATGGCAGGCGCCTGGCAGATGACGGTTGAGCTGAAGATGGGCCTGTTCTCTGATGCTCAGGTGGAGGCTGACCCTCTTGCTGCTTCAGAGGAAAGCCAGCCTGTCCCCTGCCCTCCAGATGTCACCCCTCACCACATCTGGATCGAGGTCAGAGAGCGTCTCTGTTGGGAGAGGATGATATCACTGTTATGAGTATGTTGCCTTAACATCTGTAGCTTCTCTCCTTGGTTCCCAGTTTCTCATCCAGAGGTTTGAAATAGCAAAGTATTCCAGCGCCGATCAGGTGGAGATTTTTGGCAGCCTGCTGCAGCGCTCCCTGTCCTTGGATGTCGGTGGATCCAAGAGCGGCGGCCTGAACCGCCACGTTGCCGCCATCGGACCACGTTTCAGGTATTCCAAAACTTCAGGGCCTTTCCACTTAAAATATGGAAAGAAGTTTCTTCCATTGTTATTGCAAGCAAAGAGCATGTTTTGTTTTGTAAACAGATTAGGAAAAAAAGCAATCCAGAAATGAAACTTTGGCAGTGACTTTGCTCATTTCTCAAAAAAAGAATCAAACATTTTTTATTTAATTTTTTATTTTTTATACTTTTTTTCCCCAAGTTCTTTTTATATATATCACTTTTTCTTTTAACAGATTTCATATTCTAATTTATTTTACAAATTCCTGTTTTTCAGACAATTTGCGTTTTCCAAATAAGATCCTTTGGAGTGAGGAGGTAAAACAGATTGAAAAGAATACACTTCATAAAACTCAATCTGGCAAATAGAAAGTGGAAAATAAAATTTTAAAAGTAAAATCTTTAAAACACTTTTAGAAAAACTACTTTGAAAAAATTAAAAATTGAGCAAAATGTTTTAAAAAGAAAAAAATCCAAGACAGCAAAGTTAATTTTAAAACCTTAAACACTTTTTACTCTTCAAAAGCTGTAAAGATTAAGACATTTTATTTCTTAATCTTTAAAATGTCTATTTACAAAACATGTTCTTTGTTTTCAGCAATAATGGAAGAAATAACACTCCGTATTAAATGCATTAGTACCGGTGGAACTTTCCACTCATTTAGTCACACCAGAGCAACAGGAAACATTGTTCTATTTTACTGGGATTATATTTAACCAGTCAACACAAAATGTCACAAAATAGTGAATTGGAAAGAAAGAGATTTTAAGTTTTCAAAGGTTTTGCAAATTGTAATCCTTATTTTCCTTTGCTATTTTATCCTCTAATAAAATCCAGTGCATCTTATTTCCTTCAGTTCCATGCAGAGGTTGTGCTAAAACAGCGCCCTGAAACCTTCAGCTCCAGAGCCACAGATTGCTCTTTTCACCGTCCACAATAGCTCTAAAAAATGATGGCTCAAATTTACAAAAAATCTAAACTAATAGTTTTACAAATAAATTTATCTTTCGCAGAATAATTTTGTGGGAAAAAATAGTGACGACTGGTGGAGTTTTCTCCGGGGGGGGTCTATAAATTTAAAATGGTTTTACCAAAAACCGATCAAATGTATACTGAGTTATCACACCAGTATATTTATATGAATGCCAACAACATTGAAAAAAACCAAACATAATTTCATGTAGAGGTTTACTTTTTGTACATAAATCTAGCCCTTCTGTGGCTTTGTGAAGTTAATTTGTGTTTTGCATGGTCCAATATTGTTCACACCAAAAAAAAAAAAAAATGTACCAGTTTAATAATCGGGAGGCTATTAGTCAGCTTTATATTTTTCTAATATATAAAACCTATTTTCTGAGAATGTGTTTATTTAGGAGCAACTATAAAAATTAAGAGACACCTAGAAAAAGTGTACTATATTATATTATTTTCCAGATTGTTCATTCTTCTTTGCCTTTTCTATAAAGTGCTTTAAATTAGTCCTACCTGTCTATCCATGCTGGGTCAGATCCTGACATTTGAAAAAGGAGGCAGGGAGAGCAGAATAAAGCTTTAGCCTTGCTGCATGCAGTTAGCCAAGCCTTGTAGCTAAACGGTCCTGGAAAAGGACGTTTCTTGCACCATTTCTCTCTCTCTCCAATGCGTCTCCAGCCCCCGTGACTCGACCTGTCAATCATCCGCAAAACATCTGAGCTGTGGCGGGAGGTGGTGCACAAATACACTTCCTGCAAGATCAGGACGCTCCAGAGCTAGCTCTCCTATACTTCTGTATTACAGAGGAGCTACCGCGCATGGACAACTTTTAACAAGAGTCAATGGGCAAAGATTTTTGTGCCCTAGGGCGGAAATACGTCACTAATCCGATGATAAATGGAATGACGCTTTACCAGTCATTGAAGATTAAATATTTATCTTGCACATCCAAGAAATACTTATTAAGATATTTCCAAATATTTTAAATTTTAATTAAAAATTTAATTATAAATAAAGTATATATATTTTTTATATATTAATCAGCCTACCCAATATATTAATTGGGTAGGGTGGGGCGGCTCCCTAGCACCCTCTATTGGCAAGCCGTCACTGGAAAGATTAACATTAAAAGAAATTTTAGGATTTATTTAGATGTATTTTTTTCTCATCATCAGGTTAGGAACAGTTGTTGTTTTTTTTAAATCATTGTTCAAAAATATCAACAACAAGAGAAGAAAATGTTTCAATCCATCTTTTGTAAAAGTTTAGTTTCTCTTTTATTGAACATTAAATAGAAATAAAGTGATTGCTCTTTGAGAATAAACTATCTATATTTAATATTTATCAATAAATAGAAGCTTTAATGTTTAAGGAGCTTGTTTAACGTGTGTAGCTCTAAACGGGTCCGATTTAACTCGACTAAATGCCAAAAATGGCTGTTTGCATTGTTAAGGTTGCAGATTCCATTGCTAAAAAAAACCACACAAGTTTAAACAGTTAAAATATCACACTACACGCCACCAAGGTGTGAGAATGTGAATTGTTTCAGATTAAGGTTTCGTCTTCATGTTTACAAAATGTGTCAAATGAGAATGGATGAGTCTCTAAAGATGAAAATAGCAGAATTAAACTCATCTCAGGCGACAGACTTCAGACCAGATTGGAGGTTCAGCGTGACGGCCGTCCTGATATTCAGAGCCGCGATGCAGCGGTTTACATCAGATCTCATTCATTTAGAATATAACAGAGTATCTGTCCCCAAAACTTTTACCAATGACAGAATTGTATTTCCGGCTAAAAATACAAAAAGCTGGTATAGCTACCCCTAAAAATGACAAAAAACACAACAAAAAAACAAAAACCTTCTTTAGTTAATGGTTCTTCAAGGTAATCAGAGCAGAGATAAAAACAATCACTCTTTTTATTTTTGTCTCTACTAATATTGTTCTGGTATATTGCATAAAATCCTGATAAAACCTTTTAATGCTGATAATTTTAGCACAACAAAATAGCATGAAGAGGTATAAACAAAAAAGCATGAGAAAATATTTCAATATTTCTAGTTGTTTCTAAGCTGTGTTTCTTTGTGCGTTAGGCTGCTGACTTTAGGTCTGGCTCTGCTGCATTCTGACGTTCTCACCAACTCCACCGTCAGAAACGTCCTCAGGGAGAAGATCTATTCTACAGCCTTCGATTACTTCAGGTAAACATTAACCGTTTGATGCCGTATCGTCCCTAGTGTTGCACTGATGTCGTTTTTTGGCCCCAATACCCAATACCTGGCTGTGCAGTATTGGCCCACACCAATACCATCTGTTATAAATGGATGTGTGTGTGTATATATGAAGAACTGCATACTACTTGGATGTAAAATAATTACCATCATGGCTTTGTCAAGCTGCTGTCTACCTTTGTGAAGCAGGAAAAAAGTGAATCCAGTAGAACTTTTTATTGCCTACCTGGAATGGGTGACAATAGTTGAATAAACTTTTGGCTCTCTAAATGGTATCAGTGCCCTATTTGTTGGTACTCGCTGATACCAATGCCACCATTTTAGTGCTAGATCGGGGCCCCACCTCATACTGGTATTGGTCCAACAATAATCGTCCCAGTCATTGACGTTTAATCAATCGAAAGTTTCATGGTGAGTATTTTATCCTCTGATCCAATGTTCTCCCTAAGCTGCACATTCTCTGCGCCCAAGAAAATCTATGCAGCTACAAGAAACAACTGTTTTTTTCCCCATAAATTTTGTTACATAACATAGAGAAATGGAGAACAGTTATTTTTCAATACCATACTAAATTCAATATATATTAAAAAACAAACGAATAGGGAAAACAATTATTTAATTTTATTTCCTTTCTGGCTCTTATATCATCTCATCTTTATCATCTATAGCTCAGCTGGATGGTCCACCCTGCTTCATTGAATAATAAAATCAGCTGTTCATCTACTCTGCCATCCCATTGTCAAATATCACTTTCAAATGAGTTTTATAACATAAATTAATACATGCAAGAGTTGCATTTGCATGAATATGTTTAATTATATGTTCTTTAAAAAAGAAAAAAAGTACTGCAAACAAATAATTCAACAGGAAGAAGAATTCGTGGCTCTCTCGGCTTCCAAAACAATAAAGCTAGCAACAGCACTGCTATCCAACATTTCCACAGTTTCAATACTTCATATCATGAAATGCTTCTATTCAATTCAATTTCAATTCAATTCAGATTTTTTCTTATATAGCACCATTTATCAACACATGTCATCTCACTTACACTTTACAGTTTACCAGATCATCCAGTCAAAGATTTTCTATCTAACGAAAACCAGTTGATTGCATCGACTCATTGACTCGAAGGCAATACCTCACACTAAGCATGCTTGTAGCGACAGTGGAGAGGAAAAACTCCCTTTTATAAGGAGGAAACCTCCAGCAGAACCAGGTTAAGAGTGAGCGGCCTTCTGCTGAGGCCGACTGGGGTTCAAGGAGACAGAAGCAGAGATACAAAAAGCAACTGTAAAAGGCGGCCCCGTCCAGGAAACACACAGCCAGGCAGACGAGCTCTGAGTCAGCTCCCATGCCAGAGGACGAAGAGAGCACATCCAGCCAGTCACAGTCAGAGAAACCGGACCACACTGGAAAACAGGCCAATCTCCAGCATCTATAAACAAAGGTGTTGATAGCAGCAGCACAGCTGATATTTCTCTCCAGGATGGAGTCACAGCCAAACAGGAACAGACCAGATGAAGCTACTGTGAGAAAAGGCAGAGAGAGCAGAACGTTAGAGATTGAACTAACAGATTCTGCAAAGTGGGAGAATAGAGATAGAATGAAGCAGAATGATGAAAAGGGGTCCCTATGTCCTCCATCAGTCTAAGCCTATAGCAGCATAACTATAGAGATAGCTCAGGATAACCTGAGCCACTCTAACTATAAGCTTTGTCAAAAAGGAAAGTTTTAATCCTAGCCTTAAAAATAGACAGGGTGTCATCCCTTACGGCCAAAACTGGTAGTTGGTTCCACAGGAGAGGAGCCTGATAACTAAAAGATCTGCCTCCCATTCTACTTTTAGAAATTCTAGGAAC